CACACACACACACATACACACACACACACACTCATATACATATAACAACTGTTGGTGAGGATGTGGAGAAACTGGAACCTTTGTGCACTGCTGGTAGGAATATAAATGGTACAGATGCTGTGGAAAATAATATGGCAGTTTCCCCAAAAATTGAATAAAAATTACCATTTAATCCAGAAATTCTACTTCTGCATATATAACCAAAAGAACTGAAAGCAGGGACTCAAACACAGGTATGTGTACACACCCACACTCAGAGCATCATTTTTCATAATAGCCAAAAGGTGGAAGCAACCCAAGTGTCCATCGACAGATGAATAGATGAATAAAATGTGGTATATTCATATAAGGAATAGTATTCAGGCTTAAAAAGGAAGGAAATTTTGACATATGCTACACACGAATGAACCTTGAAGACATTATGCTAAGTGAAATAAGCCAGTCACAAAAGGACAAGTATTGCATGATTCTGCTTATATGAGATCCCTACAGTAGTTGAATTCAGAGAGACAGAAATAAGAATGGTGGTGGTCAGGAGCTGGAGAGGAAGGGGGAATGAGGAGTTAGTGTTTAAAGGGCACAGAGTTTTAGTCAGGCAAGAGGAAAGAGTTATGCAAGTGATGGTGGCAATGGTTGCACAACATGAATGCACTTAATGCCAATAAACTATACAGTTAAAACTGGGTTAAAATGGTAAATCCTGTTATACTTTATACTTTACCACACAAAAAATTCTTTAATAAAGTCTGAACAACACACTCATTTGAAAGGTATTCGTAACAGGAAATAATAGCTCTAAGAAATCTGATACTTGTAAAAGTTGATTTGTGTTCTGTGAGAAAGCCCCCATAAACACAAAATTGCCTTTTCATAACTCTACGAACCTATAATTTCAACAACATGAAGTCTTAGTTTCTGTTGCAGGGTCTTCAGGGCAGAAGGCAGAGCAGCTTGAGATTCTGACATTTTTACATTTTGCTTCACATCATTTGCGAAGGATAACCAGAGTTTGCCAAAGTTTTCAGTTGAGATTTTCAATGGTCTGAAAATAATTTTTAAAATTAGATTATGTCCAAAAGAATGAAATTAATTCTAAACAAATACATTTCAAATGACTCATGGGAATAAAACATAATCATTGTAAATCTGGGCCCCACAAAATTTATGTTTTTAAACTAACTATGATTAGAATTAGAATGCTTACCATCAACCTCCAAACTTAGGAAATACTAAAAGAAGATTTTATTAAAGTGTCAATGTCTTTCCAATAAATCACTCAGTTCTTTTTCTGAGCATTAGTCATTTCGGCAAAATTTTACCAAGTTAAAAAAATTTTTACCAAGTAATTTGATGAATCATTCAAATATAAATATACTTTGAATTTGGGGACAATAAGACACTATCAACATCATGTACAGAATATAAATATGAAGATCTAGCACCTTACATAACTCAGACTAAGGAAAGGATTTTAACAAATGTATTTTTGAAAATGGTTCATGAGACTGAAGATCAAATAGTTAACACTGGATCTCTGGGGGTAGAATTACAAGGAACTTTTATATTTTACTTATACTTTTCCATAGCATTTGAATTTTTGTAATAATTATGCACTGATTTTATAATGGGGAAAATATTTTTAAAACATACATAGGATTTTATTAATACACACAGAAGAACTGTTAATTATACATACTGTGCTGCTTCAGGTTACTAATGCTCACCATGGGATATACCTTTTTAGTCAGAGAGTATAAGTTTTTGGAAGGCTGGATTCTATCTCATACAGCACCAAGGCCATGAAAACTCTTTGACAGACTGAGAGACACATTCTTACTAAAAGACTGTAAAGAGTAGGCAAAAATTACAGCAGTGTAACACAAGTTAATGTGTGAAGGTTAAAAATTTTTACAGATATTTATTGGCATTCTGCATTTTTGGTTCAGGCAGCCTTCATTTAAAAAAAATATTTGAATACAGTAAAATATATCCATAAAACCAAATGAGAACAGAAAAATGAAGAATTTGTTTTCAATTATTTTGGTAACACGGCTTAGTGCCTTGTATAATGCTAAATACTTACTATATCTCTAATTAAAGTTTAATAACCTTGAGTAATTTTCTTGCAGATCTCTAAACCTTAATAAACAGATTTTATGAAAGAATTAATCAAATAAATGAAATATAACTGAGAGAAACTTTAAAAGCTTTAAAAAGAAGCCACCTGGAATCTTTGAAGTTATTTCAATTTAAACACTACTTTAATATTACTTTCTCTCAGAAGTTTTCCAAAATTACTAATCAACCCCAACGTAAATCAGGTCCCATACTATAATCACTCATTGTATCATTTACTTTCTCTTCAAAGCACAATTCAAAATTATTTATGCATTTATGTGATTGTTCAATGTCTCTTCCCTAGACTGGACTCTCCCTAAAGGTAGGGACTGTATCTAGCTTTGAATTATTTTACTCTGCAGCGCCTAGTGCAGTGCTTCTGTCCAGAGAAAAGGCCTAATAAATATTTGCTGAATGAGTAACTTGAATTAACATTCCAGAAAATATTTACCTAATGAAATCTAATAGTGATAAGTTTACAGAAAATTCAAGCTGAACAGAATGAGTATCCATCATCTGATAATTTATAAAACCAAAAAGATTCCCTTCTGTAAAAGGTTTCTCCATCTGTACACTATATTGAAAGGTTTTGATGCTTTCTGTTTCTATTACAGGCAAGCAGCATCCAGGTTGCTCAGTGATCTGTAAACAAAAGTAATAAAAGTATTGAAGAAAGGATCAATACAGACTATTATATGAATACCAATTTTCTATTTAATTGAATTTAAAAGCATACTATTGTGAGATGTTAAGAACAAACTACAGTATAAAAATGACTAACAACTTCACTTGAGAAAAATTTACTAGCACAGATAATTAATATAGTATACAGGTAAAAGTTATGTGACAAATTGCAGTGAAAACCTCTGTATAATTTAGTAACAACAACAAAAAGATTATTTGGTTCTCAATCCTGACTAGCACTAGATGTTTAAAACAGGAGAGTTAAAAAACAAAACAAAACAAAACAAAACCCAAAAACACCACAACCAACACACACACACACACACACACACACACACACACGTGTCTTCTTTTCTCAAGCTACAGTACACCCTTACTCAACCTATGGGGAGTCGAGCCCAAGCAACTGAATTAGATTTTGTTTTGTTTTGTTTTGTTTCTTTAAGTTCCATAGGTGGTCCTAATGAACACCTACAGTCAGAACTTCTGCCCTGGTCAGTGGTTCAGGTAATATCCCATTCAACACATTTTAGCTCACAGAAGAAATTGGTCAGTCTTGTGAAATAACTATCTACTGGTCAAGTCTCATAACTCCAGCAAGGACATCCATACAATAATGTAATATCAAAATGGCAATTCTCTAGGGAAGCAATAGAATTGATGCCCAAGCACTCAACATAAATCAATGAAAGAAAAAGACAGCAGACAGTATACAATATTATCCTTCAATATTCTTACTCCTTGATGTTCTGCTTTGCTAAATTGAGAACTCTGTTTCAGTGTTTATGGCAAGAATGAAGAATGAATGAATATGGCAGTTCTGTGAGACATTTAAAGGGAGCAAAAAAACACAAAATTCACACTGAAAATAATAACACACTAACACCTACCAAGTGCTAGGTACTGCTGTAAGCATTTTACAGATATTAACTCATTTACTCCTCACAGTAAAGGCAGACACTATTAATATCTTCATTTTAAATGTGAGGAAACTGAAAGCCACAAAGCAGTTACATAACCTGACCATGTAACACAGCTAGTAAGTAGCAAAAGAAAGATTCAAAGCCAAGCATTCAGAGTCAAGAGTCTACATTCTTTTTTTTTTTATTATTATTTTTGTAATGTTTATTTATTTTTGAAAGAGAGAGAGTGAGACAGAGCGTGAGCAGGGGAGGGCCAGAGACAGGGAGACACAGAATAGGAAGCAGGCTCCAGGCTCTGAGCTGTCAGCACAGAGCCCGACGCGGGGCTCAAACCATGAACCCTGAGAACATGACCTGAGCCAAAGTCAGATGCCCAACCGACTGAGCCACCCAGGTGTCCCAAGAGCCTACATTCTTAACTACTGTACTCTGTCCAAACTCACTTTATATATTTATATTTATGGCCTTCCCCAATATAGCTGGAAAATCTTTATTATGTTTCCTTGTCTCTTTTGAATAATTCGTCCTTACTCAAAATAATAAAAAACCTGTCACACCTTTGGGTCTTTTTGCTAAAGAGGAAAGGATGTGGATGAAATTTATAAATCATCAGAAGAGTCAAGAGTAGAAACACTAAGTAAGCATTACCCCTTTAAGAAAGAAATAAGGAACCATTCATTGCCTTACCTTGAAATTTTCTGCAGAAGAAATTTCTAAGTCAGCACTTTTCAATTCCAAACCACTCTTATTAGAAACTGACCAGACCACCAGTAAACAGTCATCTTTCCAAATTTTGTAAGAAGACACTGATATGGTTTCATTATTACAGACCTCCACAAGATCTGAATGCATGTGTTCAGAAGTTTCTTCCAACAGAGAAGAAGCTAAAGATATTTCATTAGCAACTGAGGCTGCAGTGGACGAAGGAGAGCGAAGACCTTCCATATCATCAGTGAACAAAGAAGGTGTAGACAGTGTGCAACTGGAGAGTTTCTCAATGGAGGGCAGTTCTGTGAGTGACTCAGAATCCAAAAGTTCTGAGTTGAGAGAAAACTTATTTAATTCTTTGTCTCCTCTATCCTGCAAAGTATCCAAATAATAATCATCTTCATAAGTCACATCTGACGAAGAACTAAAGTAAGAACAGGGCATATTCTGAGCACTGGTTGTTTCTCCACTTTTGGTTTCCTTGACTTTTGATTTCCTTCTGAACTTGTGAGATACAGTATCTGCTTTTCCTAGCTGCAAAAATAAAATATAACAATATCTAAAAAACCCATTCTACCAGTCATGAGTTTTAAACATCTTTCTATAATTTCAAATGAACAATTTACTAATTTGTTAAGAGTCTATGTATAAAGCATAGATTAACAAAAGAATCAGAGATGAATAAAATGTTAAACCCTAAAATTATGACAGTTACCTCACTTTGAACTATTAGCTAAATCTTATTTCTCATTAAATATACATAACATCAAAAAAAGAAAGTCAAAAAGTCATTGGTGAACAATTCTAAAAACTTGATCAATTTCAGAATGTTAGAGTACAGAATTGCACAAATTAAGAACAGTGAGAAACCCAGCCGTTATTTGAGTTTCCAGAGTTGTCCTGTAGAAGAGAAGATACCCTCAAATACATGGATGGCTCAAACTCTGGTTCAGTTGTCTATGATAATCGTGATTTCATGGCCCACAAGTCAATAAACAGAGAAGAAAAACTGATTTTACCTCAAGAACCAACTGGCAATGACCGACACACATACAGCAGGCAAGAATTTTGTAATTGACTAGTGATGTTTGCTACTGACTCCGGTGACGGGAATGGCAAATTTGCCATCCTTAAGCCAACACTCCTGGGGAGTGGTCTGCAAATCTATGTAAGAGTGGAGTGGTAGCTCACAATTCCCCTTGCCTCCCAAAGTTGCCTAGAATCAGGGCAGCAGTCTGGCACTACTCTAAATCCACATCTCCATCCTCCTAGGGGCTTTAACATGGTGTGGCCACCCTTCACGTGATTCCAGCTAAGCAGGATTCTAGTTCCTCTTCCATACCCTCTCACTCCCTCAAGTCCCAACACCTCTTCCAGCTTTCAGCAGATGTCTCCTATAGTTCAATTCAGAAGTCATCAAACAAGAACTAAAATTCTACTAACACAAAAATGAAAACAAGTGGGTGGGTGAAGGACTTCCATTTCCAAGTAACCAAGGGACTCAAATTAGATGTGTATTACACTGTTCAATATTGTTACTCAGGTCACTGATGTTCTGAGTTTTTTCATTTGTTTTTTCTCTTTTCTGTGCTTCATTTTGGGTTGTTTCTACTACTTTGTCTGCATGCTTAATAATTTTTTTTTCTATAGTGTCTATCCTGCTGTTAATCAGAAGCTACACAAGCCACAGTACACTAGAGTGACATCTTGGTTAATGTTAACATTTAAAGAAAACAAACAGTTAACCTAGAATTTGTTACCCCAGAGAAAATGACTTTTAAAAATGAAGGTAAAAGAGGGGCGCCTGGGTGGCTCAGTTGGTTAAGTGTCCAACT